AAAAAAAAAAAAAAAAAAAAAAAAAGCTCCAGAAACACGTGACAAGGAACAGAAAGGTACTAGGAGAAAAACCAAGGGAGTCCGGTATCTCCAAATCAGTGTGCACGTGAACTTGCATCTTAACGTTGCCCTGGAATAAACTAATTCTTTTGAGAGATTTGTTAGAGAAGCTAAGAGTTTCAGGGGCTGGTGCTTTTTCCAGGGGTGTCCAACCTTTCAGCGTCTCTGGACCACACTAGAAGAAGGGCTGTCTTGGGCCACATGTTAAATACACAAACGCTCATGAAAACTGATGAGCAAAACAAAAGGTTTTAAGTAAATTTACAATTTTGTGTCGGGCTGCATTCACAGGCACCCTGGGCTGCAGGTGGCCCGAGGGCCACGGGTTGGACACCTCTGCAAAGACTTACAACCTACCTCTAAGGCGACTTTGGGCAAATCACTACCTTAGGGTACTCATCTGTACTTGCACTGAGTTGTAAGAATCTAATCAGTGAGACCCTGGAGGTTTTTACAAACTGTGAAGTATTATAAAGGCACCTCTGATTTACTGTTGTAATGGCATTACAACTGAGTATAAAAATTCCATCTTACAGAGTATAAGCTTTTGAAGGTGAGACCTTCGATCTTCTACACCTTTCTGTGGGGTGCTGTGCTGTGTATTTAGTGGGTATTTAAAAAATGTTTGCAGAATCTTTGGCAGTAACATGAGAATGTATGCACAGCGGGAAGGAGCGCATAGCAAAAGGCATACCCGACTTCCTAAAAGGATTTAGAATTAAAATAGTCAAACATGATCCCTCCCCCAAATGTGGCCAATGACCAAATTATCGGGAGGGACGGCAAGCCTTATACTGCAGTTCCAACTTCTCTCCTCACGTGGACATTGTTTTTCTGAATATTTTAGAAACACAGAGAAGGTATTTACAGAAAAGGCAGTGAACTGGAGAACCGGAAAACAACAGCTTTATTAAACTGTGTTCCTCAACCCCTGGCCATTAAGAAGAGCGCCTGAGCTTCTCAAGTTGAAACCTGCAAAGTGTAAATCAGGCCTTTGTGAGGCAAACTAAAATAGTGTCCCCCCAGGGTGCACAAATACCACAGTGAAGTTGCCAGAGTGAACTATTTTCCCTGACATAGTCAGAGCCTACCTTGCAAAGATTTTCCTGGGGGAAAAAAATTGTTGTTTGTTTCATGCTAAATATACACTCAGAGGACCAAACAGAATAAAGTGTAATATCTTTATACATCAATTGTTCTCAGTTAGACATGCATAAAGGATATTTAGATAGAGCTAAAATAGCATCATTTAATGACTATTTGCTCCTACAGCTTATGAGGAGCTTGGAAATAAATCTGGTCTTGGTGTAAATTTTAGGAGTTCCATAAACTTTGACTGAGTTGGTTTTATAAGCACTCCCCTAATCTAATTGTTTTTGGAAAGACAGAAAGCTACCTTCCCCCAAGATAAAGACCCAGTCTGCCAAGTTTCCATCCACAATGACTATCACGTTAATTAAAAAGGCTGTTCAATGAAAGGCAAAGCCTCATCTACAGCCTTACTATCAACTACCCCAGTGATACTGATAAAACCTATTATAGCTTATTATAAAACACAAAAGCCAAACAAACAGCAGTCCAATAATCCATACAGAAGTTAGAAGAGAAGATCCAGAAGTTGAAGGCAAAGTGAAAAAAGACTTCTTTTTAGAAAAGGGTGCCTGGCTGAGAGTTCTCTCCCCAACAGGCAGAAAATGCAGTCCTGGTTCCCACAGGGACTTTAACTCGTTTTTATCTGAATATACTGCCTTGCACCCTGCAATACTGTACACGCTACTCAAGACATGGCTGCTTTCACAATCAACGCAGATTTTCCTGGCTTTTGTACAAGTGATGATAATTGTACAATGATCTAATTTGTACTTGCATCTGTTAAAATGTGCCTCACCCCAAAAACTGTACCGGCTAAAATGCTCATGTAATTTTATATACACATGCATGTGCATGAAGTTTCTGGAAGGTTACATAAGAAATCATGCATGGTGGTCGCTAAAGCAACTTAGCAACTGGCGATGAAGACTCACTCGCCATTACACTTGCTGTTTTCATTCACCATGTCGTGTTGTTTTTACAATGAAAAAATGACTTAGGGTCTGTGCCAAAGCACATACGCTTCTTGTGACAACTTAAGTGCAATCTGACCCTGCTTATTTTAAAGTTTACTGCGTTTAAAGTTGAACATTAAAAGGAAGCCTAGAAAAGTGGTCGCCAGAACTAGTTCTTTCACACGGCTCGCCTGGCGTTTCACATGCTCTGTAGGGGCAAAGCGCAATATGCATCACTTGTTTAAGGGTATGTGAAATTTGAACTGGAGGGGAGATTTAATAGATGCACAAACAGTCATGGTACTTGAATTCGTGGGAATAATTAGTTAGCTAGAGCCCATGGAGTAACTGGAGTTAAGGAGTGAATATGCTGAACATCATAAAGACTTGCCTATTTGCCATAAATTATAGATTGTAACATGCATGTATACATATATCCTTGTCATTGAAAAAGAACAAGGGGAAGAGGGAGAGAAAGGGGGAGAGAGGAGAGAGAAGTGGGGTGGGGGTTGGGGGAGAGATACCGATTGAGCTGTGAACCTTACTACACACAATCTCCCGCCCCTCCCCACACACACTTTCCTCCAGGACGTCATTTCTGATCCAAGGACAAGGACAGTAAGTCCTCGTCAAGTTTTTAAAAACTGTCTGTCTGAGAGGTTTAAATGTTTTTCTGGTTAATCACAATACTCATATGAAAACTATTAGAAGTAACTGTCTTTTTTTTTTTTTTTTACTTAGGCATTTTAAACCCATAGTTTCTGAATTGCATTTACCAAGGTTATCAAAAACTAAAAAAATGATGCAGCAAAAACAAGTCCGAACATACATTTTTAGAGTGAAAAGTCATGTCAGAGTCCTAATTAAGGTGAACTCTAAAATTTCTTCAGACCTTTTAATCACCAAGACCCAGAGTTAAAATATCTACCTCCCAGTAGTAGCAACCTAACTTGACTGATACTGTCTTCCCTACCACATTATCTTTGTCACAGAGAAGTAATCACTGAGTAATCTACCCACCTCTACAGTCACCTGAAATGACCTTTTGCTACACAGTACCCACAGCAGAAAACTCAGGCCAAGGTTGGTGGCCCTGCCTCTGCCTAAATCAGAGATTCTTGTTCAGAAATTTTCAATGGACTCTCAGGCACTTTGAGACAACAAGGCAATCCTTTTGCTTTGAAATTTTTAATATTTGAATAGATGAAATAAGACTTTATGGGCATTCAGAATTCAACACAGAAACTTTAACAGGTTGAAGTTGAAACAAAAAATAGTTGGATGTAAATTTCAAAAGTAATCTGGGCCAAGTTTAAAGATGCTGCACTTAGGAAAAAACAGCTGAAGAGCAAGCGGCTTCACAACGCCTCAGGAGTGCCGAGGTGCCTTTCAGTTCTTAGGAAGACACGTGGCTCCACCACACTGCTACTTCTACGCTTCCAACACCCCTGAAAAACCGTGCTCAGTCCAGCTTACTTCTTCCATCTCTGAAAAACAGGTGTCTCGGAACTTCACTTTATGAACTTATTTTCAAAACGTTTCCTCTTCCTAATGCCTTGACTACAAATAAAACGGTATTTATTACTACGAAGGTGCTAAATACTGCTTTTCTAACACTCCATGCAGTCATTTCACTGCACTTTTCAAAGCACTTTTTGTAAGTCATATCCCTTCCCTGGCATTTCGACGCTTGTATAAAGTCCAGTGTACCAGAGAGCAGTGGAAAGAAAAATAGCCACGACCAAAAGAACCATTTGCCTACAAAACGTTCTTTTCAAAGGCCACTAAATAATGTCATTTGCTTTATAAAATCATGCTGCTTTGACAGAAGAATGGTTTCGTGCTCTGTCCTCTCTGCAAGTTCATTAACTATCGGCTACAGGCAAAAGTCAAGACGGTCCAGTACAATGGGGATTAAAGCTTCTACAAATCAGATTCCAGTTTCTCACCCATTTGTTACTCTGTTAAACAAAATAAGGAATCATTCTGCTTTTTATATTTCAATGACGAAGTAAACTTACCTAGATCCACCACGATGTTTGATACTTTAAGATAAACATGTCCATCTTCACACACCTCCCCCAACAATGAAGTTTTCTCTACATCCCTTTCCTGATGTCTAAAAGGTCACTTATACACGTTTTGACACTTGCTTCGAATCAAAGCAAAAGGTTAGACAGCAAGGGGAGCCTTTTTACCCAGGGACAAAACTGGGCCCAGCTATTACAGTGAGTGCCGACACTTCCTCTGGTTTTCTCTGCACTAGGATGAGCCGTGCAATAGCTTTGTGGTCTTAAAGAGCTTCACAGATGAAGAACGGCAAAGCACAGTAACTTTAAAAGTGAATTTCTATTCTAATTGCACATAACATTATCAGTGGTAAAGGCATTTGCTCCCCTCAAATTCCCTAATCTCAGACCCTTTCCTCTCTAGTTTCATCAACAGAGCAAACAACAATCACCCTCAACCCTGGAGAGCCATTTCAACAAGGTAAAGGTGCTAAAGGTGGACCTTCCCGTCTCTGATTCAAGAATGCCTCGTGATGGCCCTGGAAGGAGAGAGAAAAGCGCCCGTGGCGGTTTCTGATTCATGTTTCAAAGGAGAGGGACAAAACCAGCCGAAATGATGAATAATCAAGGGAACGAGAATCCGGCTGAGTTAGAAAAAATAGAAGAGCAAGCACAGCGATGCTGGCGGGAAGCATCTTGGCCCTGGCGGGGCGTGAGTGCTAGATCTAGTCCAGGGGTCGGAGAAGGGACTCTCTGCGTGGCCCGCCCCGGGGAGCAGAGCCCACACGCGGCCGGACGGGCCCCACAGGATAGGCTAGGGCTGAAGACCGCCCGGGCGCTGAGCTGTTGGCGAGCAGTAGCAGGGGACAGGGCTGTCACCGCTTACCCAGGTGCAGCGTGAGGTTGATGGAGTTGGGGTACTGCACCCCGGCCAGCATGGTCTGGCTTTGCCACCAGGTGGTGTCGGCCTGGTTGTTGTAGTCGGTCAGGAAGGCTGCCCCGTGCTGCAGGTGGGGCTGCCCGGCGTCGCACAGGTGACAGGACTTGGTGACTCCGGTCACCCCGGTCTGCACACAGTACTCCTCGGGCGGAGTTCCGCACGTGTTGGTGGCCACCACGGTCACGTTGAAGGCGGCGTTGACGAACTCGGGCATGCAGCGCTGCGGTCGCCCGCCCTCGTCCGTGCACTCGTCCATGGCTGCCCGGGCGCAGCCGGCCGCCGCGGCCAGCACGGCCAGCACCGGCCAGAGCTGCCCCCGGGGCTGCAGCGTCCGCGCGGCCCGCTCGCTGCCCCTCATCCCGCCGCCCGCGCGCTGGGCCACGGCAAAGGCAAGGGCGCGTTCCTCTCGCCCAGCGGCGTCCCCCGGAGGCCGCTCTGCGGGCTGAGCTCCAGGGCCCAGGGGCCGGGCTCGCAGGGCGGGCGGTGGCGGCGGCTCGCGCGGAAGAGACGGGCCGATGGGCGCCGCTGGGGAGGACCGTGCGGCTCGCTGACCACTGCCGGGCGCTCCACCTCCGCGCCGCCCTCACCCACCCGGGACACTGTTCGCGCTCCGCGCCGACCCCTGACTTCCGAGCGCGAGCCCGCGCGCGCGCGCCCCCGGGAGGAAGGAGCAGGGGGTGGGGTCGGCTGGGTGGGGTGGGGTCTGGCGGAGGAGCAAGCCCAACCCCGGCCGCCTCTCAGCAGCGCCCGCGGGCCCCGTCGCTGCTTCCCCCGCCCTCCGCGCGCCGCGGACTGCGCGTCCGGCCCGGCGACTCGCGGCGGCGGCGGCGGGGGCGGTAGCATCTCGCGCTCGGGCCCGCGGCGCGCGATCGCAGGGGAGGGCCCGGGAGGGGCGCGGGGTGGGTGGCAGCGGGGGAGGGAGGGGCGGCGGGGCGGTGCATGCCGGGAGGGCTGGGGCGGCTGCGGAGAGCCGGCCCCGCGCGCGGGCTGGACCCCGGGGTCCGTCGGCCCCGCGTCCCTGGAGGACTCCGGCTTGGGGGAGGGGCAGTCGAGGTGGCCTTAAAAGGGCGGCGCCGCGTCAGGGAGGTCGCTCGGGGTCGGCCTTCCGGCCCGCTCCGAGCAGGCCCGCAGCAGCGCTGATCTCCGCCCGCCAGGTGTCTGTCCTCGCGTCCGGCCGGGCCGCGTCCGGAGGCCCGCTCGGGAGGGACCCGGTGGTGGGGGCGGCCCGCAGGCTCCCGGCCCCGGCCGGCTGCCCCGGGAGCGGCCCCTGCTGCGCGGGGTCCGCTCCAGCCCTTTCCGGGGAGAGGGCCTGGGGTGTCCAGGGGGCTGACCCGGTCCCCGGAGAAAAAAGGGCCTGGGTGCAGCATCAAAATGAGTTTTCTGATGCGATTTCCTGCAGCTAAATTGAAGTGTAACCAGTCATCTAGCAGGGCAAGGAAGGAAGTGGAAAGGCTGGGAATGGAATGACATTTTTCCCCTGGGCACGCACCCACTGCGAAATTCTTCCACACTGTTGTTTATGTTCCCCAGCTTGCCTTTAAAAGACTCGAAATTATCTGGATCTGACATCCTCCTTTTTGGGCCTGCTGAGTCACGGAATATTTTCCGTGCCAGAATGACTCAGTTCACAGAACCAGAGCCAGAAGATCATGAGTTCTGTCCCAGATCGGAACCTGGGCGCTCACCCGGTGCTGAGACTTTCAGCAGAGACCGGGAAAGCAGGGTGCAGGGAAAGCGGAGAGCCCAGGGCGGCGCTTTGAAGCCTGTGGAGTCCCCGGGCTCAGTGGATGCACCTAGTGGATTCGCTTGTGGCGGATTTAAAAACAAACACGCAACTTTTCAGGACCTTGCTAGTAAAGTGAGAATAATAACCACACGGGGCTGCGATGGGGCGGGGCGACGGGGAGCCACACCTGGTTTGGGACCCAGTAAGTTCCGTTTAGAGAGGGATAGTGGGCATCTAAAATATTGAAATATGTAATGTTTGATTTCTACGGCTGGGGTGGGTGTTAACGCCAGAAGACTTGGAGGAGAAGGTCCGACTGGGGAGCGGAGGGATCCAGAGGATTTGTCAAAATGCCGAGCTTGATCAGCAAGTGCATAGATCACTTACATTGTTCATTTATTTAATGAGATGGGTGGAGATTGTGCGTGGCTAAAAGTCCCTAACTCTTCACCCCTTGGCACCTCCTCTTTGGGAGAAGAAAGTTACAGGGCTGTCGGTAGCAATGTTTTCATCCTTTCATGCTTGAGTGGAAGCAAAATAAATACATTCGTGTATACCTAGAAGGCACGATATTTGGTCCTTGACTGTCCTCAAAAACGAAGGAGGGCCTATAAGACAGCGATAAGAGTGTTGTAAATGAAGCTACAGACATTTTTAATAAATATATTACTGCATTGGCCTTATAAATTTTCAGTAATGTATTAGACATTGCCTAACAGTGGGGTCTTTTGCCACCAAAAAGGGAGGGAGACCCCAAAGGCTGCAAAACCAACACACGTTTGCTTGTCACTGCTCTTTTGGGTTATGTCCAGGGTACCTTCGGACAATCACTTACGCGTATCTACACCATGATTTCACTACTGGAACCTCACCTGGTATTTGTAAAGTACATACAAAGATTTTAAATTAACTTCTAAATTCTGTTGCTCGTGGGGGTGTATTATAGTGTCAAGGAAATACCTATTTTGAAGAGAAGTAAAATGTAACCAAAAAACAAAACTTTGCTCCATTGTTTCAGAATTCAAACAAACCAAAGGTTAAAACAAAAATTTTAAGACAATTAGGGAAATTTGAATATCAATTAGATATTTGGTGATGACAAAATAAGTATTTTTATTATCTGGAGATGCCACTGTTGACAAAATAGACTTGGTGTGCTGTTTTTTTAAGTGGGATTTTCTTTTGCATCAAGTTACTTGGTTTAAAAAAAAAAAAAAAAATTCCAGAGCCCTTTCAGACCTGCTCCTAACTGCTTGGAAACTCCTTCATCTAGTAAACAGATGTGGTGCTTCGGAGCAAAATGTAAAAGTGTGGAAGAAATGGATTCAGATGTCTCAAAAGATATCTTAGTGCCCAACCACTACATCTGTGCAGCCAGAAAGGTAGAATGAAGGGAGGTAGCTGTTCATTGTATAGACAAAAGAGCTCACATATTTAAAAAAAAAAAAAAAATCCCACTTAGAACTCCAAAGAGAAGAAATTTCCCCCCTCAGGAAATAGATGAACAATTTCAAGGAAGGATGCTGATTTCCCTGGTTTGGGTCACTTGCAAACCCCTGGGCGTCCCACTTCTAACCAGGGGCACACAGTTCATAAGGTGATTAAGCAGCCCACCAGAAAACCATGGAATTTGGGGAAAGCAGTTCTCCAAGGAGGGCAGGTAATAAGGCAGAAAAAAAAACCAACTGATGTCTACTATATCGAGATTGAGATGCACGGTATAATTAGAAAAATAACTTACAAGTTTTCATTTGGGCTTTTAAGGATGCAACTTTGCCCTTTTTTTTATCCTTTTAGAATTAGCAATGTGTTTATTTTTCCATTCCTTAGTCTTTCTGACCTCATTTCCCTGTATTCTTCCCAAGCCTAAGCATCACCGTACTATATCCTTTATCTTTTATATTTAGAATGCAACCTAAAGATAGCAATTATTACTAACCATATAATGATGTCAGCCTGTATTCACTTCTGTTTCACACTTATCAAAATGTAGTGACTCTGAAGCAGGGGGTATTTACTATGTAGAGTTGAGAAAACAGACTCAGAAAGAAGTAATCCCTGTAACCTTGCAAGCAGCAAGGTCAAGATGAGAGCCTGCCCTTCCTGGCTCCCTGTCCAGCACTGTTTCCTTTTCTGTTGAACAAAAGCCATGGTGGGGAAGAGGATGAAGGAAGAGCTACCTCAAACTTCCCAGGTTTTTAGGTTATCAAATAGGAATTTTTAATTAGGTGAAAATTAATGTGATACTGCAAGAGAATTACAATATCCGTCTTCAAAGTTACACTAACTACACATGATTCTTTGTGTGAGGTTTATAGATCCTGCCTAGGTCCTTGGTACAAGTCCAAGCACAATAAGATAAGATATCTTTTGGGGTCATGCTCAGGTAAAGACAGGATTCCTCTTGTATGAGGTAAAGTCCTTCCTCCCCACCAGCCCCACACCCAGCGTCAGCCACCTTGATCATTGTGATGCTACTGGGAGTTTAAAAAGGGAAAGACAAGGACACATGTCAAAATTCATACAATTTAAACTAGAACTTTATCACAAAGACAATACAAAAAATATTTCCCAAAATGAGGAGTAAAGCTCAATCCCTCCCTGACCCAAAATATTCCCATCAAAGAAGCAGAGAACTGCACATCTCAAGAATTGTATTATTCTACTAATCAGATGTGGACTGCATCCCACTATAGAGAATTGAGAGAGAAATAATCTTTTACACACAGATGACATGGTTTTATTGTGGGAACTCAGAAGAGCCTCAGGTTTTGACCCTGAATGGTTAAATATTATTAGAAACGGTACATGTAATAGCATAGTGACTATAGTTAATAATTCTGTGCTGCATATTTGAAAGTTGCTAAGAAGTTCCCATCACGAGAAGGAAGATTTTTAACTATGTATGGTGACAGATAGAAACAGCAGATCATTATGTTGTATACCTGAACTTAATGTAATAGATCAATTATACTTCAATTTTTAAAAAATGAACTCTAACACAAGAAAAAAAAGTGTAATTCTTTCAAAACAAAATGAAAGTTATTATTATTGGTAGTTTTCTCCCAACATTTAATTGCCTTATAGCTTCATTACTTCATTCAATTATTTAGATATATATTGCAACAAGTTTTTTGTTGTTGTTTTCTTTTTTTGAGAGTATGCCTATAAATTATATTGTTCAAAATTAGAAGTTCATAGCTCTTGAGTAAGACTCTTTAGGAGGCTGTTATTACACCAACTTAAAAAAATTCCTGGCTGAAATTGTTGTGGTCCAGCACAGAACTCAAGGGCCTCCATCTCCTGTTTATATATGTATTTGAATAAATGCTACATTACTTTATCCTTGCACCCAAATTCTGTTTATTGTAACAACCAAATTAAAGCAAGACTTGAAAAATTTCATCCATAATTCTGCTATAGTAACATGACATTTTTATTTATCAGAATTTCCTCTCCTAGCCCATATTATTCTTTGTTTTAATAGACATCCTTTATTGGAGTACAATTCACATACAGGAAAAAAATGCCCAAGTTCCAAGGGCATATAGCGATAGTTTGTATCACAAAGTGCATACACTTGTGTAATCACTACCCAGGTCCAGAAACAGAATATTACCCTAACCCAAAGCCCCATCTTGTCCCTTAACAATCAGGATCCCTTCCTTCTCCCTAAATGTAACATCTATCCTTACATCTAACAACCTTGCTAAGTTCACTTACTTCCAATAGTTTGTAAATTCTTTTCGATTTTCCATCTACAAAATCAGGCTATTTGTGCATAGTGACAGCTTTATTTCTTATTTTCCTTTTGAATACATTTTAACTCTTTTTCTTCTTAACTTGCACTGATTAGGATGTCTCATATAATAGTGAATAGAAATGATGAGAGTAGACATCGTTTTTTAAGAAAATTA